TACGAATTCTTCTAGCGTACCCGGCAGAGGTCAACGCGGCCAGCTATGCCCAATCCATGCTGAGGCACTCCGAGCGGCTCCAAGCACTGGAGGGGAACGAGTTCGAAATTGTGCAGCTGTGCATCTCAAGGTCGAATGCGGAGCACTACTTGACGGCTGATGAGCGGCATCACCTAGACTGCCTCAAGGACGTTTGTTAGCGCAGTGCAATGTGTAATTTCGCAAGGGTTTTGGCTGCAACAGGGTCCGTTGCAAGTGGAAAGTAAAGAAGGTACGGATGGATTCAAGAGGACCGTTGGCTGTTTGGAAAATTCTCAAGTCTGGTGCCACATGTGAGGCTCGTGCACTTGGACCAACAAGAGGAGCATGCTTCAACATTCTTAAGTATGCCATCCGAGCGCTTCATGTGCAGACATAGAAGGGAGCCGATTGGAGATTGAACCTCGTAATCAAAGACTACGAAAGTTCGCAGCATTTCGAATGTTGTATTTGTACCATCTTTGCATCCACAAGTACGCACCCAAAATAGGCCTGCACCTATGCGATATTGCATGACGAGCGAAGAAGAGTGGCCTCGGCATTGTGACAAGTTTTGCGAAATGCGACTTGACGCTGCTCCATGACCCAACTTTTCGCGCTACGACCGAGAAACATTTGCCAATCACTCCTTTCAATGTCCCGATTGCAAAGCGTTGCATGTTGGCTTTCAAACTGGAAGTATTCATTTGCTACTCAACATGGCGCATCTGCGCCCAAACGGCTTCACAATCATAGGAATATGGCATGGATTGATAGCATCTCATGTCCGTCCCCTCAGTAGCAAATCCAATCTTGAAGGAGATTCATGCAAGTCCACATGTGGTACACTACCCAATCAAACTCTTCACTAAGAAAATGTGTCTAAACGTGTCTGTTTCCCGGCATGGAATGGACATGTATCCTCCAAAACGTCTCAACGGAGAAAGCGCAGTGATTGAAAAAGCATGTTTCACGTTATCAAGTACATCTGCTCTTTTCGCAGGGGTTTCCGTCAGAAGGCACATGAGGGTCCGTCAAAACAATATCTAACAGCTGGAATAGTAACACGCTGCCGGTTCAATCCATAGATCAACCGACCATGCACTTAATTGAGATTCTACTCAAAAGCCATGCGTCCAAGCTTTGAGCGGTGCAACTCGGGCCGCCCTGGCTGCTGCTGAAGGTATGCTATGGATGCTGGAATTGAGAATTCGACATCGCCGACTTAGATTTCATATTGGCCCGCAGTCCGTTGTTATTTTGCTTGCAGTCGAGGCTGAATCTGGTTTAGGTGGTCAGAAATGCGTGCACGTATGGCCAAATACTGCGATACGTAACGGGCCCTACGCAGCATACGTGTGCGAGGCGCACATTCTTGCCCTCAAAATGTCCCACTCGGGAACAGCCCCCGGTCGAACAGACCCCGAGCGGAATTTTAAGGCCACCGGCAGAGACGGAAGGGGGGACACGTGGCACCCTGAGATTGACAGATTTTATGCCGGATTTCAGATGGTTAGTTGCAGTTACTCGGTTCAAAACCGCTCGACTTGGAATTAATGTCAGAATTATTTTGTCAGTTGCGCGAGTTAAGTGGGGTGCGCATCGGCGCTGTTGCCAGATTGAGCATGATGCGCGGGCGAGGGGCTTGAGTTCGTCGCGCGCTGCAGCCTTTCTAGCCCCAGCTGGCGCCTCCAGCTTCCTCGGTAGAATCTTCGAGGAATTCTGAGCGACCACGTGGTCAAAGCCGGGCCCCGGTGTGCTCTGTACCTATGTACAGCTCTGAGCAAGCATACCGGTACCGGAAAATTGCGACGTACGTACCTACAAGATTGTCAGCTACTTACCTCGTACTGTGTCGTACAAGT